CGATGAGAGCCAAAGGAATCGACCACCAGTTGTGTCTTGGGCTTACCTTGATAAGGAGCCAAGGGCTTTGTTACCGACTAAGAAGTTGTTTTGCCTTGGGCTTATCCTGATAAGGAGCCAAAGGCTTGACCATGATGGTCGATGAGAGCCAAAGGAATCGACCACCAGTTATGCCTTGGGCTTACCCTGATAAGGAGCCAATGACTTTGTTACCGACTTAGGAGTCGTTGTGCCTTGGGCTTACACTGATGAGGAGCCAAGGGCTTGACCATGATGGTCGATGAGAGCCAAATGAATCGACCACCAGTTGTGCCTTGGGCTTACCCTGATAAGGAGCCAAGGGCTTTGTTACTGACTGAGGAGTCGTTGTGCCTTGGGCTTACCTTGATAAGGAGCCAAGAGCTTGACCATGATGGTCGATGAGAGCCAAAGGAATCAACCACCAGTTGTGCCTTGGGCTTACCCTGATAAGGAGCCAAGAGCTTTATTACCGACTAAGGAGTCGTTGTGCCTTGGGCTTACCCTGATGAGGAGCCAAGGGCTTGACCATGATGGTCGATGAGAGCCAAAGTAATCGACCACCAGTTGTGCCTTGGGCTTACTCTGATGAGGAGCCAAAGTCTTTAGATCTGACTGAGAAGTCGTTGTGCATTGGGCTTACCCTGATGAGGAGTCAAGGTTTTTAGATCCGACTGAGAAGTCGTTGTGCCTTGGGCTTACCGTGATGAGGAGCCAAGGGCTTGACCATGATGCATGGTTGATGAGAGTCAAAGGAATCGACTACCAGTTGTGCCTTGGGCTTACCCTGATAAGGAGCCAAGGGCTTTATTACCGACTGAGGAGTCGTTATGCCTTGGGGTTACCTTGATGAGGAGCCAATGTCTTTAGATCCGACTGAGAAGTCGTTGTGCCTTGAGCTTAACCTGATGAGGAGCCAAGGTCTTGACCATGATGGTCGATGAGAGCCAAAGGAGTCGACCACTAGTTGTGCCTTAGGCTTACCCTGATAAGGAGCCAAGGGCTTTGTTACCGACTGAGAAGTTATTGTGCCTTGGGCTTACCCTGATGAGGAGCTAAGGTCTTTAGATCTGACTGAGAAGTCGTTGTGCCTTGGGCTTACACTGATGAGGAGCCAAGGTCTTTAGATTCGACTGAGAAGTCAAATGCCTTGAAACTTGAAGATTTGGCTAGGTCTTTGATATTTTATTTTTTTATTACCATTTTATTGAAATTTGTACATCATAGAGTGTAATTTTTCAATATTTGACTTCTGGATGGCGTCGAATTCTTTTTCTCCGCTCATATGTATTTCAAAGATCGCCTTTTGTAGGGGACAAGGCCACCGAAATGGAACTTCCTTGGTTTTTTCTTGTCGTCTTTGAACATTCCTGTTTTGACGAGGGCGAGTCACAACTTTATTTGCCATCTTCGTTGCTGTGTGACTTAGGACGCCGAGTCGTCAATCATTTGAATATCTGGAGTCGGATGCTGCTCTCTTTCTTGAGGGCGAGCTGTTTGGCTTTAGACATCACTGAGTTGTTAACGTATTCGCCATCTCATCGGCCATGACCTTTTTAAAAGTTTTTGTTGAGGTCTTTGTAGGCCAACGGTAGATATGATGATTTTCAACAGATCTTGCTTCACCACCGTTGGTGGCCCTGTATGGCCAGTGTCATGTTGATTGAGCCTTCAGAGGTTGGTGTTTAACAGGAGGTCGGGCAACTTTTGTGATGGTGGCTTCTTGTTGGTGAAACCCCAGACGTCGGTGCTTTGTTCCCTAGAATTTGATGGGATTATATTTTCCCCTTGAGGATTCCAGGAATAGTAACGACTGGACCATCCTGTGAATGGAGGAACCTTCTTAGAGGGAGAGTGCGAGTCGCATGCTTCGACCACCTGTGCTTGCTTTGGCTTTGGTGGTTCGAGCTTCTGCCGGGGGGCCAGGGCTGGATCTCCCGAGGAGGTAATTATCAGGTGGCCCTCCGAGTTTTTCCCGCTATCTCATCCTTAACAAGTAGGAACCCTCTTCGGAAGGTGGCGGTGGTCCGAGGAGCCTGTCACAGACTTAATCACTGCTCCTGAGCTCGAATGAGCTGTTGCTGATGGGAGCTCAAGTGATATTGGATCTGATCATAACCCTTATTGGAGGTGGGGTTCTATTTTGTGATCCGGCTCCAAGCTCCGTGCCTATCCAGGATGGGGAGTTCATCTGTAGTGGCGATAAGAAGCCTGTGCTTCATTTTCAAGCTAGACAAGCATCATAATGATGTGTCTTTTCTTAGGAGGGCTCTCGGGGTTCTGGTAGCGAGTCCATCTTCTGGTGGATGGCCTGCTTGGCAAATACTCCTCAGAAAGCTGTTGAAGCCCTTGAGGGCTACGCCTATGTTGGCTCCTCATAGCCATAGGATAATCCTCCTTAGCTTGAATGATGCGATTCCAGGCTTTGTTTAGCTTGAATGATGCAATTTCAGTGTTCTTCAACGATAAACAAGACCAGGCCCCTGTTCAGGATTATGCATGTCTTCTCAGAGAAGGAAGTGGGCCCCATGGTGGGCTCTAAACTGTTGATGTTTGAAATCACACAATCGATGAGAGCTGTCTGTGGATGAAGAAGAATGAGAGGATGAAAGATGAGGCTGACTCCTCCTCCGACTTTATGCCCGATCCTTAGACTGGAATTCCTGATCCTCCTGTATGAAGAAGAACAAACCCGTGAGAGGGCAAGGCTAGTTCCCCCCGTGGTACCTCCATCGGTCAAGTCAGCTGACGAGCTTGAGTAGGGTTTGAGGGAGTGTCCCGGGACCATTGAGGTCATTGTCAGGGGGTACTCTTTGTGAGTTATTAATAGAAAGAAAGTTGGTTAAGAGGGAAGGAATGATCCCCCGAATTCAATCAATGTCCAGCCTCTTCGTCGAGTTAAGATTTTAAAAAAGAAGAAGAAGAAGCCTTGAGTCGAGAGTAGAAAAAACCAAACCTCTTGTCCTTACCCTCCTTCCTCATTTTTATAGTCCTTCGCCTATGAGATTCTAACCCTTGGCTTTGACTACGCACAAGGGGCGGTGGTGGGATGAGTAGACAGGATGATGAATCATTCTTAGTTTTACAGATGTCGGCTGACAATTAGAAGGGAAGTCATTCGAGCACAGGAGAGGATATCTCCATCATATCCCGGATTTTGACAGATGAGGCACGACGAAAAATAGACTGACTGTTTAGTTATTCTTTGCTTTACATATGTTGGCTGGCAATTGGAAGGGAAGTCATTCGAGCATAGGAGAGGATATCTTAGTGATATCTGGGAAGTGATTTGTGAGCAGAGTAAGCTGTTTATGCCTGAGATTTGTCAGAGTTGAGATCTTGATGGGATCGATCAATACTGTAGTGTCGATTGATGCATATCTGAAGGGAGCTGAGTTGGATTTTATCCCCTCAGTAAAGACGGGTTGGTTTTCGAGTCGTCCCTATGATTTGTCGACCCGATAGTCGAGTGAGTTTCTGGACGAGTAGATGATCAAACCAACCATTTGAGGAGTCGTCTTGATTATAAGGCGGGCGGACTCTTAAGGAGTCGCCTTGATTATAAGGGGTCGACCGATCCCACGCTTCGTGTCGGTAAAGATGACTCGTTAAATTTGTTCTTTGTTGGGCTTTGAGTTGCTAAGCTGGCTGGGGCCATAGATTTTTAGGCCTATGAAGATAGTTTCTTGAGATCTTTGTTTTTAGATAGTAGATTAACATAACAAGTCGTATTTTACGAATAATGAGTGAAAATCTAGAAAAATCGACCAATATAATCCATTATATGAATAACAAGTTGTCTTACCTTAAATGTACTTTATATTTACTTGAATCGGAGAAAAGAAGCGTCCCGATCATATGCAAAATATATGCACGAGTATGTTGCTGGATCATGACCTGGGATGCATCCTCTTGCAAGGGGTTTGCAAAATTTTATTTTAGTCACTTCAATCTAATATATCCCCCGGGCAAGGACTCCGGAGATAGTCCTAACAACTTATCACAAATTCGGCGCCATACATTTCTATTAGTCTCCGTAACATAAGGGCCATCAATGCGAAGACCAAGGATCACTACTACGTCTTGGAGAGTAATAGTCGCCTCGCTAACACGTAGATGAAAAGTGTTAGTCTCTGGCCTCCATCTATCTATCAATGCATTAAGTATTGCCCAATCGAGTTTCATCCACCGTAACTTTACGCATGTGAGAAAACCTGCTTGGGCTACTAAAGCAATCATACGCGGATCTTCAAGTGGCCATCGTATATGTTCGAGGCTATGATCAATCATAACTAGCTTTGGTCCTCTCTGCACAATAATGAAAAAAAATATTAGCATTTACTCAATGAATAAGTAATATGAGACTATAAGTTCAAAAAATTTATGACTAAAAATATAAGAATCATTACCGATGTAAATGATATACTCTCTGAATGGTATCGTGACTGATCATATAAGACTTCATCACTTACCTGTCCGGGAATCATAATGTATATACCTACACATATAATTGTTAACTTATTAGTTTGTGCATAATTAATAAGTTAAAGTATGCGTCATGTCCCTTTACGATTTTGACGGGTAGATTGATACATCTACATCTTGATTTTACCCCACAATTTGATTGTGCATCCCATAAATCTAACACGGCAATCAAGATTGATGCCACCTCTTAGCTCCTAATAAAGTTCCCACCTAAGCACCAAACTCTTGCATTTACTCATCCCATATCCATCTCTTAGATTTTCTTGCCACTCTCTAGAGCTCCACATACTACAATAAAAGCTGTACATGCCCATACTTATTTTACGGCACATAGAATTAAACAACAACAACACAAATAAAAGATATCGTAAGTCACGATACATATTCGTGTCATCAAATACAAAATAAAATAAGAGTATCACAAATATGTGCATCTGCGCGACACAAAAGTATAACACAACATGACAACATGCAACAAAAATAAAAAAAATATCACGTGTTACAGCTTTTATTGTATGTAGGGGCACTTCCATCAAACTTATCAACACTCTTACATATACCCTACACTATGATTTTCTATCACATTATCAAGTGGGCAGCCAAGATTGATCCCACCCACTCTACTATTAATAAAATTCTCACCTAACCAAACGGTGCAAACTCTTATATTATACTATATTCATCCCGGCCCCCGACCTCCACGCTACTCACCAGAGATCAACGCTTCCATCAACGATGACCGACGAAAACCGCTGCCTGCACGTAGTAGTATTCCCATGGCTAGCCTTCGGTCACATGCTCCCATACCTGGAACTCTCCAAATCCTTAGCCGAAAAAGGCCACAGAATCTCCTTCATCACCACCCCAAGAAACCTCCGAAGACTCCCCAGACCCCCCTCACAAATCTCAGACCTCATCCACTTCGTCCCTCTCCCCCTCCCTCAAGTCGACGGCCTGCCCACCGACGCCGAGGCCACGTCAGATCTCCCTGCTGACCGCGTCGAGTACCTCAAGCTCGCCTTCGACCGCCTCGAGCGACCCTTTCGCCAATTCATCCAACAAACCTCCCCAAAACCCGACTGGATCATCCAAGACTTCGCGCATCACTGGGTCCGCCATACGCGGCTGCAGGCTTCGCGTGCCCGTCGTTTTCCTGTCCATTTTCATGACGAGCTTCCTCGTTTTTCTTCGGCCGCCGTCGAAGTTGGGCCCAGAGGCTTCTAGAAAGACCAGCGGAGGGATCACGCGCTCCCCCGCCGTGGATCTCCTTTCCGTCTCGAAATCTGTTACGCGCTACACGAAGCAAGAAGGGTGTTCAGTGACAGCCTCATCCCTAACCAATATCGGGGTTCTCCGACGGCCGTAAGCGGTAGCAAAATCACGCTTGAAGTTTGGCAAGGCCGTGGCCGTTCGGAGCTCCATGGAAGTGAGGTCCGAGTGGTTGAACTTACTTCGCGAGCTTTTTAAACAAGGCCTGTGATTCCCGTGGGTCTACTTCCGCCTCCGGAAATGAAAGGAAGCGAGGGGAGTGAGGGAGCCGACATCCTGGGTTGGCTCGACAAGCAGAAACCAAGATCCGCTGTGTACATTGCTTTCGGGAGCGAAGCTACTCTGAGTCCCGACATGCTGCATCAACTAGCTCTCGGACTTGAGATGTCGAAACTGCCGTTTGTCTGGGCGCTTAAAGAGCTCGCCAACGCATCGGCTGACGAACCGAAGTTCTGCCGGAGAGCATTCGAAGAGAGGGGTGTTTCGAAGGTCGCGGCATCATCGCGAAGGGTTGGGTGCCGCAGTTGAGGATACTGGCCCATGAATCGATCGGAGGATTCCTGACGCATTCGGGCTGGAGTTCGGTGATTATGAGTCTGCAGTTCGGGCATCCGCTTGTCCTGCTGCCCATATTTTCTGACCAGGGGATTAACGCGAGGGTCATTATGGAGAAAGGGGTTGCGGTTGAGATTGAGAGAGACGAGGAGGACGGGTCTTTTACTAAAGAAGCTGTTGCTAGAGCTCTGAGGTTGGTCGTGACAGAGGAGGAGGGGGGGTCGATTAGGAGGAGAGCTGAGGAGTTGAGAGAGGTGTTTATTGATAAAGACCGACAGGAGAAGTATGTGGATGATTTTGTGAAGTATCTGCAGGAGAATAGAGAAGGGGGGCATTGAAAAGGTTTGAATTAGTGAATGTTTGATGCTTGGTGGTTCTTAGTAGTTTATATTTTGATTATTTAAGGGTGCATTCCGCCGCGGATAGTACTCTTGGTACTTGTTTTCAAGCTATTTGTATTTGTGGCTGTAATGTTCCTTAATAAATGAATCTTTAAAGAAACTTTTGTTTTCATTTTTTTTTTCAAATTTTTTTTTTTTTGCGCAGATTTACTTAAGTTTGAGTATGCACGTAAAGGGTCAATTTATTTTATACCGCATTTAACGGGCTTATGTGGAATCATAGCTATCTTAACTAGACAAGCACTCCAATAAGAACAAACAGAGATTGGAGAGAGATCTCATTTGTATATCACTTGACTGTAACCCAGATAGTGCTTATATTACTTTCTATTAGAGAACTACAGACATCGATATTGTGGATCTTAACTATATATATAAACATGTTTTCTTAAAAAAATTTATATATAAACACATTTT